TTCCCATACATCAAAACTCTTTCCAAATAGAGAAGCACCTAAGACTTCAAGAGGTAAAGGAAGCCCCCCACAGTGGTATGTCATCCTCTTGGCCTGCTTGATGTATGCTTCAATAGGATGGTCTTGTCCAAAAGCATGCCAACTGAAGAGACGAAGCGCTTCAACATCATTAAACTCCTTAACCATGGAAACCTCACAAACTTCATCAACCTTTAGCAATCGGTCATGCCTAGTTGTAATGATAATTTTACTTGCAGAATGAAACCAGTGTCGCATTCCAAATATTGCATTTACTTGGTCCAACTCATCCACATCATCTAAAACAACAAGAACATTTTTACAGCTTATAGCATCTTTAATCTTAATGATTCCCTCGTCAACATTGTGTATTTTTTCTATTTTCCGCTTAAAAATATTTGAAAGAAGTTGTCTTTGTAAACGAACCAGTCCATTGGATTGTTTTGAAGTTTCTCTAACATTTGCAAGAAAACTACTACCTTCAAATCTATCGAAGTTTTGATTATAATAGTTTTTGCAATGGTTGTCTTCCCGATTCCACCCATTCCACATATCACCATTATGCCAACATTGTTTGATCCTTCTTGTAACCACGAATTGATGTCTTTTACACGAGATTCTATACCTGTTAGGTAGGGAGTGACACTCAAGACCGTATGATCCAATTTGTTAGCAATCTTTCGAACAATTATTTGGATAAACTTTGACTCATGCCTACAAATCATGAACAAAAGAAAAAATAAAACAAAATAAGCATTAAAATATGATGCTTGATTTTTAACATTGCCCATCTAATATAATCCTTAGAACTCAATACATGAGATTGATTTGAAATTGAAAGAATCACATAATTAGAACATGAGGGGGAGAGAGAGAGAGAGAGAGAGTCAATAGACTGACATTGCAAGTCTAACTTGCATCGTCAATAACTATAAATTTCATGTTGTTTTAGCCAGCTATAAAATGAAAAGTAAAATTAAAAAACACAAAAGTGTCGTGAGAATTTAGTATGTTGACAATTTCTATAGACGAAATGGTAGTAATGCATTGATATGTTAGGTTGAATGTGAGCGTTGCAATTAGGAAGATCAACACGAACCCAATGCAATCATCACTCCATACTCACATAGGCATATTCCATTAGTATTTGGACACATGTTTTAAATTAAAAAAAAAAATTACCCAAAACAATTTCCCGTTCCTGAATGGTTGTGTTAGAAAACTTGTGACAAACATGACCGTGAGCCAAAATTCCAAGGGCCTAGCTTGAATGCACTCAAATCCCTGCTTGAGCGGAGCATGAGTTGCGAAGGAGAAATCCAATTCAAGGCCTCATTCATTGTTGTAAAAGTATTTTGGATTGTTGCTAATAACAAATTATAACAGAAATTTGTAGGGTTTCTATATTGTGTGAGAGATTAAGTGGTCTAAGAGGTGAGGAAGATGAGACGTAAAATACAATAGTGAGCGGGCAATTGTGGAGCTTAGCGTTTAAAGACTCAATTACTCTTGAGCTACGTAATGATGTCCTGTTATAAGTACTTTCATCTCATCATTGTACTTTATTCTATATAGTGGATTATCTCTCATCTTTGGATATAGGCATTGAGCCAGAACCATGATAACTATTGTGTTTCTTTTATGTATGCTCATATTTAACTTATGGTATGCTTCCAGTGGCACATGAATTCATATTTCATAATGCAATATCAGAGTTTTTGAGAGATTTATTCCCAACAAGTGATATTAGAGCTTAAGATGGGATTTTTCCCAACAAAATTTACCCGTCAGCTTGATTTTGCAAGACCAAACCTCCAAGATCTACAACTGCTCTGAGTGCTTCTCTTCACCCTTCCACCTTCTCCATGCCTAGTTTCCCATTTCTTTCATCAATTTCCACCTCAAATTGAGCTTCATGTCCTGCAAATGCTTCTGCAACACTGCCAGTTTGCTTCCTAACTTGGGATGGATCCATGCCATAGAAAACTGGTAAAATTACATGTTTGAAGTTCCTCTTGCACTCAAGGATCATCACAAGTTCATCAAGGCATCTTCGCGAAGAAGCATAGTCTTTTGAGAATACAATTATGGAGCTCCTTGATTCCTTGATTGCTTTTTCTAGTTCACCTCTCTCCATAGCATCATCATCACTTCTAAACGTGCGAAAACCTGCACCAATCAACGCTGTATAGAGGTGGTCTGTAAAATTTTTGCAAGTGTCTTCGGCAAAACTCAAGTATACATGATAAGAACAACGAGATTTGGAAGAGGAGGCCTCAGCAGCCATTGAATGAAGCTTCAAGGGAAAAAAATTAAGGGGAAATTTTATGTTCTCAACTCTTGGCACATGATAGCAAGTGATCACTTCTTGAATGACTAACAACACTACAAATAATGAAGAAGAAAAAGGAGTAATATTGTATGGACAGAAGAAAACTGTGACCACTTAGACTATGACAACCATTACACTTCAGACCACAAAAATAGAGTCGAAAAATCTCGTAAGCTACCTCCAACGCTACACTAATTTATTACTAAATTCAAATTTAGTGAAAAAGTTTTTTTTTTTTTTTTACTCTAATGATTTTATCAAAGACGATTCACACCTTATAATTTGAGGCTTGTATCACTTTGATCTCCGACTTTTCAATTGTGACACATTTGATTCTAAATTTTGAATCTTATTTCAAATAAGGACAATTGAAAATACCATTGCTCAATTTCAAAGGCAAAGTTGTCAATTTGATAAAATATAAATTAATTTGACAAAAATAAATGTCAAAAAAATATTTTTCAATTTTTAAAAATTATTTCTATCCACCAAAAATAAAATTATACAAAATTGATAAATCTTTTACACATTTTTTTTTTACCAATTAATTTTTATTACGTATTTGGATGATAATCATCTAATGGGTGATTGCTAGGCTTTTATTGTGTAATCGATATATTTTTTAATATATGAAATGTTATAAGTTTTGAATTTTTTGATTTAATAGATTGATTTAATAATGATATCAAAGTTGTCGCCATATTTGACTTTTGAAAAAATAGGAAATAATTTAAGAATAATGATTTGTAGCTCGAATTTCCCCCCCAAATCCCCCGAATGCCCAAGCATTTTTTTTTTTCTTCTTCTTCTTCTTCTTCTTCTTCTTCTTCGTCTTGCAGGTCTAAAACAGAGGGAGAGGAGAAGGAGAGAGAGAGGGAGAGGAGAGGGAGAGAGAGAAAGTGAGAGAGAGAGAGGAGGCAGGTCGTCGTCGCAGCCCCCTCCGCCCGCCGTCGCAGCCCTCCGCCGTCGCCTCTGCCCATCGTCGCAGCCCCGCCTCCACCGATTGTCCTCGCAGCCTCTACCTCGCAGCCCCCGCCCCTCCTCCGCCTCCAGCCCAATTTGTTGGCCCCCTCCAGTCCCTCCTCCTCCTCCTCCTCCTTCTTCCTTCTCTTCTTCTTCTTCCTTCTGATTTTCTTCTTCTTCTTTTGAAAAAAAAAAATGAAAACACCGAAAACAACATCGTTTTCGTTTCGGGGGGAATTCGGGGAAGCTCTTTCGAGCTACGTAGCATTACCGATAATTTAATGAAAATAAAAACGAACACCCATTACATGATTGTCATCCAAACATATAATAAAAATTAATTTGGTAAAAATAAATAAATAAATATGTAAAATATTTATCAATTTTACATAATTTTATCATTGGTGGGTCGAAATAATTTTTAAAATTTTAAAAATATTTTTTGATATTTATTTTTGTTAAATTAGTTTACATTTGATCAAATTGACAACTTTACCTTTGAAATTGAGTAATGGTATAGTCAATTGTCCTTATTTGGAATAAGATTCAAAATTTAAGATAAAATGTGTCACAATTGAAAAGTTGGGCACTAAAGTGACACAAGCCCTAAACTATAGGAACCTTTAGTATAATTCGCCCTTTTATCAGACATATATCAAATTGAAAATATCAAAAATATTTCACCAAACTGAAAAATATTTTATGCATTTTATCAAATCATTGTATGTTGTGCTTTGCAGCATTAAAAGCATCCACAATGGATGCGTTAGTGAGTGTGTTAGTATCAGGTATTAGTTTTTGGCCAGCCAAAAACACTGTTGGGTGCTACAATGGGTGTGTTAATGTTGTGTGTTAGTGTCAGCTATTAACTTGTGTGTTAACTGTGGCCAGCATTTTAGCTAGCGAATGAAGAGAGAGATGTGTGCCTAGAGAAGTCCTCTTCGACGTCTAGCCGGAAGTCCCCCCGGACATCCGGACCCTTCAAGAAAGTGTTTTTTTGTCTTACCGGTTGACTGGTCGGACGTCCGGCCGGTTGACCGGTCAACGACAATTTTTTTTTTTTAACTTTTTTTTTTTTTTTTTTTTTGGGCTTGAAATTTAATTTGGGGCTTGAAATTTTTGATTAAATTAAATTATTTATTTATTTTATTTATTATATATATACATATACTCCCTTCGTCCCAAAATAATGATCCCTTTTGGGGAATCCAACTTTTTTTGGTAGTACAATTATTGCATTTGAAAAAAGTTGATTTTTCAAAATGACCCTTTTGATAGTACATTTTTTGAGAATATCAATGTCATAATTGTACTTTTGATATTGTTTATTAATTTAAAAGAAGGGCAAAATAGGAAATTTATATTATTTTTGTACTTGATTTTAGAAGAGGGACTAATATTTTGGGACAATGAAAAATGGAATCAGGGACTAATATTTTGGGACGGATGGAGTATATATTCTTAACACACCCCTTCACACATCTATTGCACCACTACTCACTCTCTAAAATTAACAAACTCTTAACATATCTTAACACACATTTTTTAGCCTCACTTTTATCATTTTTTATCATATAACACACATCTTAACACACTTTTATAGCCATCCACTATGGATGTTCTGAGAGCATCCACAATGGACACACTAACGCATGTGTTAGTGTCAGTTGCCAACTTTTGGCTAGCTGAGGGGGAAGTTTGATGATGCAGTGGACCTGTTAACGCGTGTGTTAGGGGTGTGTGTTAGAGTCAACTGCTAAGTTGTTTGTTAGTTGCGGCGAGTGTTCTAGCGAGGGAGGGGAGGTGTGTTTTTTGTCTTCTGGGTTGACCGGCCGATTGACCGGCCAACGGCAATTTTTTATTTATTTTTATTTTTTTTGTTTAAACTTTTTGGGATTTTTTTTAGACTTGAAATTTAATTTTGGGCTTGAAATTTTTGATTAAACTAAATTATTTATTTATTTTATTTATTATACACACATATATATATATATATATATATATTTAACACACACCTTAACACACCCCTTAACACATCCATTGCACCACCACTCACTCTATAAAATTAACAAACTCTTAACACATCTTAACAAATATTTTTTGGCCCCATTTTTATCACTTTTTGCCATATAACATACACTTTAACAAATAATTTTAACTATCCCATTGTGAATGCCCTAAGAATGCTCTATTTCGACTTAGTGTCAGTGGGTCCGCCATGTTAGTTGGTCCGCCACATTTTGCTTAACCCTTAAGCAAACTTTACCGTTTGTTTACCTAGAGAGAAGAAAGTCTGTTAACTTTTAGAGAGAAGAAAAATATTATTTTATTTTTAAGATGATAATTCCCGCTCAAGATGATAATTCCATCTTCCTATGCCCTCGTCACGATTCAAAGCTCGTTATCCACTTCAAGAGGAGAAAAGTTGAACCCCCCCCCCCCCATTTAACCCATGGCCATTATTTTTGTTGAATTTAGTAATAAATTGTGTGTTCTTCTTTCTTTTGTAGCCTGCATTGCACTTGTTCATTATCTGTTTGTAAAAATGTTTATGAGAAAAATAAAATCTTAGTTGTACACTTGCATTGCTCAAGAGATTTTGAGAATGATTTGAAAAGAAAAAATGAGAAGGTGTGCGTGAAATTAAATAAAATATAAGTATATTTTATTCATATTTTATCTACCTTTTTCATTTTTATTTTTAAATTTCTTCTCAAATCTCTCAATCAAAACTAACATTAATGATTTGCGTTATGACAATTACTTTGATTTTGACAGGTAACTTGGCTTTTCATGGTCTTTAAGGATCTTTTGGGAAGTACTACTTTTTATTCATTTTAAATCACATCACCTCTCACATTTTTTACTTACAAAAAGATAAAATAGAATAAAAAAAATCAAAACATTAATTTTTTATCAACTTTCCAGAATACTCCTTATTGTTCATATTATTCGATGGGTCATTAGTGGTGGCAGAGATTTGCATCTTCAAGTAACTACAAGAATTGAAAAGGACTTCATGTGTTTTTTTTTTTTTTTTTTTTTTTTTTGTGGAGGGTTAGGGTAGGGGAAATAATTCTCCTCGTATAATCCTGTTTACCAAGTCCACGCTCCTCCGTACGACGTCGTTTTATCACCTGAAAACACAAACGTGAGCTAGCCGGCGGGTGTGTGCCGGAAACCTCTCCGATGCCTAAGTCAGAAAACTTGACAAATAGACAAAGCTCTGAGTATTCACAAGCAAAGTTATGTGTTGTGTTCTGTTACCTCCTCCAAGGTGATGTTTTGTGAGCTTTTATAGGTTTCGAGTGGCACAATCCTAGTAGGACTCCTACTTCTCCATGCAGAGTCCTCCTAGGATTCATACTCCTAAGGATAATGCTTATCCTTTTACACCCCGCCCACTGCTTAAACCAAGTGGGATGGTTTTCATCATGGCCGAGCTGCCATACGACCGAGATAAACCTGGCTATTCTGAGCCACAGAGTAGGCCGTACTAACAATAGTTCGGTTCTCCTTCTTGCTACACCATATCTCAGTTCTCCCGTACACAAACCATGGTGTGTTTGGTCCGATCTACGGAGTAGCAACATTCCGACCGACCTACCCAAAATATATCATGACCGG